AGCACGCTGCACGACGTGTTTACAAGGATTAGCAGGAGCGTAGTGTTGCAATATACAAGTGCTTAGATGTATCAAATAATACTGATCAATAATTAATTATCCAGTTAAATGAATTGGTCTCAAAATTCTGGACTGGTTATTGTAGTAAGTTGCGCAATAGGACGGGACCCAGTCAATAGGAAACGAGACTGTTGTGTAATCAATGTTTTGACTTGAAGCTTGATCGATTATACATCAAAAGTCGTTTAATGCCGACACCACAGACTTGAGATGTTAGAGCATTGTTCAACATAATGTTAAAGCTGACAATTTGACTTTTGAAGTCATTCTCCTTGTCAAACTGTCTTGTGGAGATTGTTTTTCACTCTGAGTCTTTGATCATGATCAAATCATGAAATAGACAAAGCCCTCTCACAATATAAGAGAATCAGAAGGCCCGCTAAAGAGACTCGGGTGTTGATTTTTTGATTTTTTCTCTATATACATTTTCATACGTACAATACGTATGAGCAATAACAGAAGACGGTATTCATTAGGAGTAAGTGAATTATCATTTATTTCATAAGGTAAGGAAATATCAAGAACGATCAACCGGAAACCAAAAAATACAGAATAATATTAACAAACAGTGTTGAGCAAACGGCGGAAGACAGAGAAACGTGCAACAAAACGCAGTCTTCATAAACTTGAGGGGGCGGATACTATGTATGTCTACATACACATATATACTCGATTAGACCTTGTGTCTGAAGGTCGTGTACAAACTTTTATTGTATAAATGTGTACAGCATTTGTGTGTCTGTAGTATTCAATACATCTGTAATATATCTTTTGGAATGCATTCTATGTGTGCTAATATACATCCTTAATGTGTGTGTGTGTGTGTGTGTATGTTATATGTTTGTCTGCAGTTAGCGTACACACAAGGGGGTACAAACACCTGTGGTGTGTCTTTACGTGTATGGTGTATTTGCGGCTGTCCGTAATGTCACCCGAAATGTATCTGTGCCTGTGTCTGTCTGTCTGTGTGTCCATACGTGTATTTCTCTCTATCATTCTGTGTGTGTGTGTGTGTGTGTCTATCCGTATGTACATGCATGTCTGTCGATATTTCTGTGGTTGTGTCTCTGTATGTGTCTGTTGTTTGTCCGTGCGTGTCTATATGCATGACTGAGAGTGTCTGTGAGTGTGTCTGTCGATATGTCTGAGTGTGTCTGTCGATATGTCTGAGAGTGTCTGTGGGTGTGTCTGAGAGCGTGTCTGTCGATGTGTCTGTCAGTGTGTCTGTCGATGTCTGTGGGTGTGTCTGTCGATGTGTCAGAGAGTGTCTGTCGATGTGTCTGAGTGTCTGTCGATATGTCAGAGAGTGTCTGTGGGTGTGTCTGAGAGCGTGTCTGTCGATGTGTCTGAGAGTGTGTCTGTGGGTGTACCTGTCGATGTGTCTGAGAGTGTACCTGTGGGGGTGTCTGTTGGTGTATCTGGGTGTACCTGTGGATGTACCTGTGTGTGTCTGTTGGTGTATCTGGGTGTGTCTGTGGTTGTATTTGTGGATGCGTCTGAGTGTCTGTCTGTCTGTGTGTGTGCGTCTAAGTCATCTTCACACGGTCACACATTACTGCTACCTCAGAAGAATCAATCGGCAGGAAAAAAACACGTCATTAAAAAATACAGCAAACATTTTACAAAAGTCATTTGGACAGAAAAGTATTCGTTTCAAAACATGAAGAATATTTCTATGACCCAGCAGCGAGATGTGCGAGATGAATCTATCCATGCTGGCGAAAATAACGACACATCGTACAAAAATGATAATGAATACTTTGATCCTTGTTTGTGCATCCATTAGCCTGTACCTTGAAACAAACCTTTACTGCGTTCCTACAGAGCTGTGTAGTTTCACCTGACAGAGGTGGCCAGTTACACCACAAGTCTTGGTAATGTGACAGAAAATCTCAAGGTCATGCAGGTCCATACTTTTCACAGCTACGGTGACAAACATACCGTGAACTGACAAACAATATCGGGCCGACATGGATTCGAACCCACAATGATGGGTTCCCGGCGTACCAAAGGGACGCAACTCTGCATCGGCTTAGACATCGGGCGACCGGTGCGCTTTGGATTTTATGGGCTATTAACATACACTACGAAAGGACACGGGAGGTTAAAACCATATTTCTTCGTAATAATACTTAATCCATTCTGAAAAATAGCATGACCTTTAAACTTGTATATTGAACGTTTCAAAACTGCAAAATACCTAAACTAAACGCGTTGACAAGTGTTTCTCACCATTCTTTCAAAACACATCGCAATGAATAATTTAAACAATGAAATCAAAACCTGTTAAACTCATGCAGGAAAGCAAAGCCTTAGTGGTATCTTTGTTTCTTATTCAATCATCCGTAAATGTCTACGGATCACGATGATCCCTAGGGAATCTTGATCGATCTTGTACATTGAACGCATTCAGGCATTAGGTTTTTGAAGGTACAGGCTACTTGATCATACAACGGTGGGGAAAGTCGCTTCAGGGAAAGCACAAATATAATAAATGAAGTCAAACACTCGGTGCCACATAACGTTTGAAGGTGTTACTATGGTGACAGAGAACAGTCGCCATTTACAGTCGTGCGTATTCTAATGATGAAGATGATGAACTAGCTGTAACTACGTCATAACAGCAGAAACGTTTCTCATTGCCAAGGAAACAAGAAAACAATATGTTCTCAACGCGAGGAAAAATGCTATTTTTTAAAGGTATGTACAAGGTATACAAAGTTATCGTTATGTTATCAAGCTCAGCTGTAGAAATAGGAAATCCTTGAAATTTAATTTGGGGAATAATTGTAGAAAATTCAAACGTATTAATTGAAAATAAATAGTTGTTTTTCATTCTATTTACACGAGTTGAAAAATCATTCTGCCTTCTATAACGTTAACACACGTCATCTGAGTGGAGTATAGTTTTACGCCGCTTTAGAAATACGTGTAATCTGGCAACGGCGTTAAGCACTAGAAAAAGGCAACGGAGATGTTTCGAGATAAAGTTTTGGATAGTGAGTGAGTGAGTTTAGTTTTACGCCAATTTTAGCAATATTCCAGCAATATCACGGCGGGGGACACCAGAAATGGGAAGTTTTGGATAGATTAAGTGGTTAAATATAAAACACTTCTACATGTAAATAGATCTGAGATTGATAGCTTTTCCAACCTTGAACAACATGATGTTTGAGTATTGCCAATAAACATACATGCATTGCTAATAGAAAGCTTAAATAAAGTAAAGATAAATACACTTCTTGTACAAAATGAGTAGTGGTTCAATAGTGGCTATATACAACAGAAGGTTTGGGGATTGTAACAACACAGCTTAATGATGACCCGAAGCTACTGGTACGGCTTCGATCTTCAGCAGAATAATATACATGTTATTAATAATAATAAAAATGATAATAATGATAACGATATACAAATAGAAATTGCTTGTCTGAATACCGGAACGCACTGTGTAACTGGGTTGCATGTCGTGCACGAGTTGTGTCGTCAAGGGCGTTGCTAATGTTTGATATGCAAATTAGAACTATTCTCGGCCACATGAAATTGATCATGCGGACGTGAGTGAGTGAGTGAGTTTGGCGTGATGTCACTTTGAACAGTATTTCAGGTATATCGCGAGGGGTCACATTGACGTTGAAGGAGAGTTATAATTAGGTCGAAGACGTTTGAAACGCCAGACAAGGTCAAGGATAAGGTCAAGGTCAAGGTCAGTCAGTTGTGCTGAAACCAGTGTTCACAATGACTTCGAGAAGGAAACCCATGACTGACCGATCTTGTGTTTGCTTATTTGTTTGTTGTTTGACGCTTAAAGGCTATGGCATTTTTTTTCATCTGAACAGTTATACAAGTGAATAGTAATTCATTTATCGAAAAGCAACTCTATTTTATATTACTATCGGTTTGTTGCGGCTAATGGGTGTATAACTCCTTCCCTGGTACGATCACGTATAAATCTGTATAAATCGAGACAGCATCTCGAAATAACTTGGCTGAATGAGTATGATTTTACGCCGCTTTTACGAATATTCCAGCAATATCACGGCATCAATATCACCTCAAATAAGCTTCACATATTGTACCCGTGTTGGGAATCGAACCTGGGCCTTCAGCATGGCCAGCAAACGCTTTAACCACTTGACTACCCCACACCCGTTCGAAACGACTAGAACTAGCAATTGGAGCCATATTATCTTTTATACCCCTATTTTCTCTCAGTGTGAAACGGTCTTAATATTATGCAAATCAATTCTTCACTGACAAAAAACGTTCTTAAAATAATCACATTCCGTTGGTTTGATTATAGGAATACACACTTAACCAATATATGCTGCCAAACTGTAATCCTATCAAAACATCTACTTACTCTGCAGTATAAAAAAAGCTGATTACAAAACTTGGACTTAATGGACTGAAAGCTACAATGGTCAATGACAAGGTTAAAAAGTCAAAGGTAACAACGAGTGGTGTGATGAAGGATACAGATAACTACACACACAGTGGACACCAGCCCTGGCTGCTACACCAAGCACCAGTGTAAGAACAATACCAGAACATCACAGAGGCTTTGGAGAACACAGTTGTCGCTCCACCTTGAGTATAAAAGAAAATAAATATGAAATCTCCTCTTCAGTGGTTGAAAGGCAAAATTCTGGGACAATTCCAAGGGGTAACATTCATTTAAGAAGTTCATGAAAATGGATGACCCCGCATAGTTAACACTGTCACAGAGACTATACGTTTGGGATCTGCAGGTACAAGGCGTGTTGGCCTAATACTGGTATTCTGTTCACGTTTAAGCCCAGTTGACTTGTAGTCAGTTTACGTTCAAGCCCAGTTGACTTGTATCCTGTTCACGTTTAACCCAGTTGACTTGTAGTCAGTTCACGTTCAAGCCCTGTTGACTTGTATCCTGTTCACGTTTAAGCCCAGTTGACTTGTATCCTGTTCACGTTCAAGCCCAGTTGACTTGTATCCTGTTTAAGTTCAAACCAAATTGACTTGTATTCTGTTCACGTTTAAGCCCAGCTGACTTGTATCCTGTTCACGTTTAAGCCCAGTTCACTTGTATCCTGTTCACGTTTAAGCCCAGTTCACTTGTATCCTGTTTACGTTCAAGTCAAATTGACTTGTATCCTGTTCACGTTTAAGCCCAGCTACTTGTATCCTGTTCACGTTTAAGCCCAGTTCACTTGTATCCTGTTCACGTATAATCACAGGAGACGTATATAGCGTTCACGTTTAAGCCAAGTGGGTTTGTATCCTGTTGACGTAAAATCCCGGTGGTACTGTATCCTGTTTGCGTGTAAGCCTTATGGACCTGTATCCTGTCCCATACCGTCCTAGTAGCTTAATTCGAATATTACATTCTGATATTTCATCCTGGGTTCAAAATTCAACAATCCATTTTGAAAAGGTCTCTGCAATTGTTGCATTCGCCACTACTCGTCTCTTTCCGATAACTCCCGGAAAGATCCGAGTTGTTCCGAATGATAAGAATCTTGTCCCGGAAAACCTTTTCCCAACGTATAACTCCAGACTAAGGTCTTTGTATGACGTCATTTTGCTTTCAAACACAACTATTTTAATTGAAAACGAAACAATCCACACATCTCTTGTCGCTCCAAAACATCTTTTTTGTGAATCGTAATACCATATCTTGATATCTGTTTAAAAATCTTTTATCTCATCTTACTTTCTATCCTTGCGAAACCTCGAACCTAATGTTTCTCCTTGACTCAAGATCAGCAAAATCTCACATATTTTCAGACAAGAAGTGGATTGTTATAAGCAACTGGATTGTCTTGGTCCGGTCTTGAACCTATGGAACATCATACGTGACCAACCATTCCGGGACAAACCGTCTTCTTGGAGATTACGGAAAGGGACGAGTGGTGACGAATGATGGAACAGGTGATCACACATCAGTATTTTATACGCCTTTTGCCTCTACAGGCAGCGTTCTATCAGACTTGGCGCAACTCTGTCCTCTCAGAACCGCTCCCTTTCCAACACCACTTGCAACACTTAACTCTCGCAGACTCTCGCACCAACTCGTCCAAGGTCATGCATATGGCGGCTGCAAAGAAGAAGAAGGCACCTCCCCAGCCGAGGCCGTAGCCGATGCCGTACCGGTGGGAGAGGATGGTGTGGTCTAGTTCTACTGCCACAGGGAAGATTATCAAGGCGACGCCCGTACTTAAGGCTGAAAGATGAAGCGAAAAAACCGTTAATAGTTTGTTAATTTAGTTGTACATCTCGATACTTCGTGGTTAACTTTTAGGTCTGTTGTTTAACGCCGCACTGAGCAATGTTCCAGCTATATGGCGGCGGTCTGTAAATAATCGAGTCTGGACCAGACAATCCAGTGATCAAAAGCATGAGCATCGATCTACACAGTTGGGATACGATGACATGTGTCAACCAGGTCAGCGAGCCTGACAACCCGATCCCATAAGTCGCAACTTACGACAAGTATGGGTTACTGAAGATCAATTCTAACTCGGATCTTCACGGGATGTCGAACTTTAAGCCTATATAATAAACACATGTTATCAACATTATTGGATGAATGCACAAAATTAATGACGTATTGAGCTAAACAGAAAGAGAAACAAGCTGGGTACAATGAAGGTGAAGTGATTGGACTGGGTATAATAGCATTGATTTCTTTATTAAGGCAATAAGATGTCCAAAGAATAATGAGAGTTTGTTATGCATAAAAATGTCACGCATTTAGTGGTCGCTAAGGCAAGCCGCATTTTGGTCTCTCGTCTTGTTTTAGTTGTTTATCGTCTAAAACCCCGACCAGCAAGAGTGCAGATGGGCGAAAAAATTAAGTACAAAACTCTATTTCTTTATTTGTGTAACTTATTTATGATATGTTAGATTTAGCCATTTTGTTAAAAATTTGGTTAAATATATCAAATAGATGAAGAGGAAGAACGATAACCATGAAGTGAAATTTATCATGAGTGTAAAATAAGAGTATTTTACACCACAGCAGTAGATTTCCACACTTTTTTATTATTTCCCTTCAGAATGAACATCCATGGCAGTCGAGAGATGGGGAAGAGAGAACAGAGAACTGGCGAAAACATCAATATTGGGTCGAGAAACCCTTAATACCTATCTTGTTTCTCCCGGAAGTGTTTATTCTTCACCCACGTGTCCTTCTATTGTGAACGAAACAAGATAACGCATCAGTCTAGACTGGTTTTACGCCTACTCACCGCAAACGAGGAATATTTCTCCAGCGGAATGGAAGTAGTAAATTTTCCTGGGAAGGGGTGTGGTGCATACGCCGCATATAGACAGCATGGACGCCACGAAGCCAAACGTCGCGGCAAATATCATCAACCCCACCACAGCATTCTGCCAATCTGAAACACAAGAGTGATTAAAGCATTTCAATATCATCACGGCGTGTCTGTTTCATGTGGGAGGAACTCCCGAAGTATGACACGTTTCCCATTTGGTGAAACTTACGAGCACCGTTGTGGTTCCGATAAACCTGGAAATATAAACAGGAATTTCGGATTTCAACCCAAGATCGTCGACTTAGGTGCACAAGATAATAGGTGCACAACGAACGTGGACCACTGGGCCACCTATGAACCTTGATTTTAAAAATGGGCCTGGAATCCGTTCGCGACAGATATTGGCTTCCAGATCTATCGTCGTCTTTTTAAACCAGCCATCATACAGGGTCCCGATTCACAGAACGTTCGTAACGTTATAACTGATCGTAATTCTATTCTACATTACTGGATTACGAATGACGTTATGCTACGAACGTTTGTGGAAAGGGTCCCCGCATTCGTAAGTCTACGACACTCTATAGAGTTACGACAGGTCGTAACGTTACGAAAGCTTTGTGGATCGGGACAATGGTCTGTAGGTAGGCCTACAGGGAAATTCTGACGTCAGAGTTTCGCATGACGTCATCTGCTTTTACGTCATCATTGATTTATTTTACATTATGAGTTACCATGACGAAACCTCTTGCTGCCGTTTGTCCAACAAACAAATGCACCAACAAATAAGTCCCTGTGCTCAAGGAGAAATGAAAGGTTTGTTTTATATTTCGCTAAAAGGATTGTACAAGCCAAGCGTCCATGTACCCCATCCTTATCTGCTGTCTCATAGTGGGCAAAACCATTGTAACTCGACATCTCAAACATGTCGAATGTTTTCCAGCAATTATTGAGAGCAATAATGACTGCACACATTGCCCCTTTATATCACGAGATGCACAACACCCAGGCAAACGGAACGGTGTTTGAATAAGCATTGGGGTACTACAGACGCGTTATAACGGGGCTGAGGAAGAGGTTGATAAAGCATTTCATTGAAGGCGGGGCGTTTCTGAAGACGTTCTCAGTGTAGTTCTTCGAGACACGGCAGATTCTAGTTTTACACTTATGACATTGTCCTGGCACCAGAGTGAGGATACAGCTTAAATTGATGACACTCGTGACTGAGGGTATACAATATATCCAGTGTTTGAGATCTACGCAGTTGGGATACGACGCCATGCTTTATCCCAGTCAGGGAGCCTGACAACCAGATCCTAATAGTGGCTTCCTACGACAAGTATTGGTTGCTCAAGAACTCTAACCGGATCTCCACAAATGTATACTATTTGTGCAATAAGTAACTGTACTAGGCTTGTAAGCCGTATTCAAGAGATCTAAAATACTATTTGATTCTTAAACTACATCTTACAGTATTCGCCACTAAAATATTTTTAAAAAAACGAATATAATTGGAGTCTCAACATGAAGTGAAATGCATTAAAACTGTCAACATTTTACATTGAAACATACAAAAATTAAAACACACTTCAAACGAAATATAACGCATCAGACTCCGTTAGGGTGACGAATTTCAGCTGTTTCTCCAAACAGGACTATTTGCAATAAACAAAAAATAACACAAGCCGCAGTATATTTGTCGATAACTCGCCTGTTTCCAGGCCAAAAATAAAAAACACGCTAATTTAAGCTGATCCGGCATGCTTGTCAGATGTTCCTTGGAAGGCGAATATTGATTTGTGTCGGCAGGGATGGAGATGAGGGAGCATAGACGCGATCCCTGCAGCAGCAGCAGCATCATTGGCAACCGAGGACTCTGGCCGCTCCATCGACGAGTCATCTGCTTGTCTCAGCAACTGTTAAGGGCCTATTTGATTAGCTGCATGGATTCTGTGACGGGTGCTCCCAAACGGGCTTATTTGATTATACGCATGGGTTTGGAACGGCTCGCTTGATTTGACAGGCGTGGTTTAAATGTATCACTCATTACTGGACGCGGCGCGCTTCATGAATGATTCAAGGAGGGCTGCGTGATTTCAGGTCCTGTAGTGTACTAGGTACATGCGTGCAAACTAGAATAACCGGGAACGTTATATTGACAGACGCCCTCGATTATTACATAATGCACTTAGAAGACTAGACTAATTCTATTATGGGTTAAATATCTCGCTCAATATTATTGCACTTTTATTGCAGAGTACATGCACGTGCGTGTTTGTGCTACTCCCGACCAATGCTGGAGTTCTAGTATACATGCTGTAACGAATACACTATGGGACTGTAACGAGTACACTATGGGACTGTAACGAATACACTATGGGACTGTAAAGAGTACACTATGGGACTATAACGAGTACACGTGGGACTGTAACGAGTACACGTGGGACTGTAACATGTACACTATTGGACTGTAACGAATACACTATGGAACTGTAACGAATACACTATGGGACTGAAATGAATACACTATGGGCCTGTAACGAATACACTATGGGACTGAAACGAATACACTATGGGACTGAAACGAGTACACCATGGGACTGTAAATGTAACGAATACACTATGGGCCTGTAACGAATACACTACGGGACTGTAACGAATACACTACGGGACTGTAACGAATACACTACGGGACTGTAACGAATACACTATAAGGTGAATGCAACATGTTTTACGAATGCATAGTAACGAATACGAATATGTTTTCATGAATACTTTATGGTTCATATCTAGGACTTAAAATAACAAACATGTCATGTAATTACTTGATTTGAAACATTTAAAAGGCCACTACCTCCAATTTCTAGCTTGGGGCACAGAAATGGGCAAGACATAGTACCGGGGAATCGAACCCGGGTCTAGACGAACGCTTTATCCATTAGGCTACCTTGCATGTGCACAAAGGATGGGCAGGGCACAATCGAAGAATCAACGTTACATATAGACAGGGCTACCATGCAGTCAGTCTCATTTTCTGTGACCGCCTCCGTGGTGTAGTGGTTAGAGCGTCCGCCCGGAGAGCGGAAGGTCACGGGTTCGATCCCCGACCGCGTCATACCAAAAGACGTTAAAATATGGTACTTGTTGGTCCCTGTCTGGTGCTCGGCATTAATGGGTACAACAAGGACTGGTCGGCTCGGAGTCAGTATACTGTGTCTGAGTGGGGTATTCATGCTTCATTGCGGCGTGGTATCTCAGTGGGCTAGCACTATAATACCAGCTTAAGTCTGGGCTAGTACAAGCAGGCGCACATACACATACACACGCATGCACGTCGTCATATGAGCGAAATATTCTCAAGAAATTCTTAAACCCAATTTCACCTCACCTATTATTTCTGCATTTTATTTATATTATATCCCTATTTCCAAGTGCATCACAGAATGTAATACACCTACGTCATATTTTAAGAAAAATAAGAGTTCAGAGCGATAAAAGGGCTTGGGCGACCCAGTGGTTCCTGGCCCTCCTCAGCCACCAGGATCCGCTGATCGTGGTTTAATTGGTAAAAGATTATGATCAGCTGAGTACCCGTTGCTTAACCCGTCATAGTTCCACCCAAAGGTTTAAAGGTCTAGACCTGCATAACTGAAAGGTTTCCTCTCACACCAAGCTAACAAGCCGTGGCATAACTGAAATACAGTAAGTGTTATCTAACTACAAAACTCTCCAAGCATTCTACGGAACGTTGCATTCACTGACGGTTTGGGATTTTAATAACTTTATGCTTTGAGAGATGTGAGGTGAAATTGGGTTTTACGTCGTGCTTGAGAATATTTCGCTCATATGACGACGTGCATGCGTGTGTATGTGTATGTGCGGCTGCTTGTACTAGCCCAGACTTAAGCTGGTTTTATAGTGCTAGCCCACTGAGATACCATGCCGCAGTGAAGCATGAATACCCCACTCAGACACATTATACTGACTCCGAGCCGACCAGTCCTTGTTGTACCCATAAATGACGAGCGCCAGGCAGGGACCAACAAGTACCATATTTTAACGTCTTTTGGTATGACGCGGTCGGGGATCGAACCCGCGACTTTCCGCTCTCCGGGCGGACGCTCTAACCACTACACCACGGAGGCGGTCTTTATGCTTTGAGAGAACTAAAGTGCCTGTTTAAAACACAACTAACTCACGTAATCATGGGACAAAATGGGACAACAGTTTGTTTTTTTGTTATTTAACGCCACTCAACAAAACAAAAATCCAGTTATACGACCGCGATCTGAAAATAATTGGTGAAGACCAGACAAACCAGTGACTAGGATCATGATCTGCGCAAATGAGATACCATAACATGAATCAATCCAAGTTAGCCTGACCACCCGATCCCCTTAGTCGACTTACGACTGTCACGGTTTTCTCAACACCAATTCTAACCCAGAGGTAGAACATTGTGGGGCAGATAAAACCTCTGCCAGATATATTGCCTCGAGATCATAAAAGCGAGTGATTTAGAATTAAAGATTACAATGGCACTGCTTGATTCACATTCTGACTATAAAGATTATACATTGATAAGATATTCATTTAGGAGTGAGTGAGTGACTATGGTTTTACGCCGCTTTTAGCAATGTTCCAGCAATATCACGACGGGGGACACCAGACATGGCTTCACACATTGTACCCATGAGAGGAATCGAACCCGGGTCTTCAGCGTGACGAGCGGACGCTTTAACCACTAGGCTACCCCTCCGCCCCTTCATATAGGTGAGGTGAAATTGGGTTTAACGTCGTGCTTGAGAATATTTCGCTCATATGACGACGTGCATGTGTGTGTGTGTGTGTGTGTATGTGTATGTGCGGCTGCTTGTACTAGCCCAGACTTAAGCTGGTTTTATAGTGCTAGCCCACTGAGGTACCATTCCGCAGTGAAGCATGAATACCCCACTCAGACACTTTATACTGACTCCGAACCGACCAGTCCTTGTTGTACCCATTAATGCCGAGCGCCAGGCAGGGACCAACAAGTGCCATATTTTAACGTCTTTTGGTATGACGCGGCCGGGGATCGAACCCGTGACCTTCCGCTCTCCGGGCGGACGCTCTAACCACTACACCAC